GTTTGGAAGGGGGCTGAAGAGATGGAATAGCAGTTAAGAGCACTGGCTGCTCTTGCAGAGGACCCTCAGTTCCCAGCACCCACATGACAGCTAACAACCATCCTTAACTCCAGTTCTAGAGGATCCAGTGCCCTCTTCTGGCCTCTGCAGGCATTGAATGCACATGGTATATACACATAAGCAGACAAGACACTCATATACATAAAAATAATTAAATAAAAATTAAAAAAACATGTTTGGATGGAAGATCACAGTGGCTGTCAGTGGAAGACTTTGAGATAATCATAGCAGGATGAAAGTGTTACATCATTGCAGCAACAAGAGTGACATGAAGGAAGACATTGCCAAACTATTTTATGCCTTTAAGAAAGATCAGTGTGGTTCATATTTACGTACAGCACATCCACACACACTCCTGCACAGAAGAATCTGAGGAAGATAGGGCTCCTCCATATCACAGATGAGCTATAGTATGTGCATTAGTGCAGAGATTGGTCTAAGGACAAGCAAGTCCTGTGGCAAAGTGATAATAAGAGCCCATGCCACTTCATTAGCAATCTGTTGTGGCTTGTAATAGATGTCTTTGCTCTTAGGTTTTACTCCTGTATTCAAATATATTGTAACACCTAATCTTCAGGAGATTGTTCTCAGGTTTAAGACAGTATGATAGTCATAAATCAGCTCTGAAAGTCAACAGCTATAAGTGCCATGTGGTATCAGTTAGATCACAAACCAAAGCCAGCTTATCAAAACATTTCCTGGTGGAATACCCACAATATTTTAACAGATGTCTTTTGGAGACTTTTGAAGCAAAGTAATCCCCCTTCAGCATATAAAATAAAACCCAACAGAAAGTAAAATGTGGAGTAGAGAGATTATTTTTTTTTCTTCAGGCAATAGGAGAAAGATTGGGGGGAAATCTTGAGGTCTTTGGAGAAATACTTGCTCACAGCCACAAAAGTGAAGAAATGAACTTTTCTTTCACATATACCTCAAGAAAGATTGGGTTTTGAAACATTCCTTCCGTGTTCACTAAAGAAATTTCGTAGGCTACTTTTGAATATAATATTTGTTACTTCTGGTTCTGAGCACTGGTCATAAGTATAACTCTGGGTTTTTGTTGAGGAAATCTTATGAGAAGCTAGGGGAAAGATCTGAAATATGGTGGGGCCAGCAGGAACATAAATGGAGGGAAGGCATCAAAGAGGAATCTGTTGTTAGCAACAAGATGGACATGATTGAAACTGGTTTCTTTGAAAATGTAAATAGTCTGAGGCCTCTGAAAATCAATGGTAGAGGAGCCAAAAAGGGAGCCAGGGAAAGGAAGGGAAAATTACTTTCTCATTTTTCCCCAGATAATTGTATAAAAATGTCAATATAGAAAAGTTGAAGGAATCATACAATGAACACACTGTACATGTGAGATAAATTATTTCTATTTTGAGTCTGACAATTTGTTTACACTGGAACTGATTTTTACCTTTGTCCAAAAAATGTTTTTGAATGAACAAACTGGTGGTCTCCTAATACTCTTCCCTTGCAGATATTCTGATGCAAAGAGTGTTGTTTACTGCTACTCCTGTACCAAGTGATAATTCAAAAAATCAGGGGTCCCTATGGGTATACAACTATTACCTGTTGTTGTGAATGCATCTTGCTTGTGTTGGCATATCTTCTCCCACGCTGCACTATTTTTAACTTTGTGCTAGGAACTGTACTAAAATTTATCTGTAAGTAGAAATAATTTGGTGTTATTTCTTTAAGAGGAATTGTATTTCTTTAAAATGATATTTTGTTTGTTCATGTCAAGGACACCGAGGTGCTAGCAATACAGCAAATAGTTATGGAGCACTATTGATGTAATAGTACAGTTTTTAGTAAGTAATGGCTGGTATTGCTCTGAATGAGCAATAAAGCCATTAAAGAATAATTTAGTTTATATAAGCTTGATCAATGTCCGGCTTTACCTAAATCTTATCCATCAGCACCTATTAAGGAGTGGCATTCTAGAGATGCCCTGTGGTAGCACTGACTTGCAATCTGATTTCTTAGACAGTTCAGAAAAAATTCTATGAACTAATTCATACATTCATCATATAAAAGTCTACTAAAACATAAATCAGAAGAAATTTGCTTCCTTTGAACAACATCCAGGTGAGCGGACTGCTCTCTCTGGATTTAGTGTTGGCCGTCTTTAGTCGTTGCTATGTTTTATCTCAAGCAGATGAAAAATAAAATCCCCTCTTTAGCTCTCAGTCCTGGAAAAGAATACTCAGCAGGAGAGCTGACTTTGGAGATTCATGATGAACTACCAAAATTCGTTTATCAAGATTACTATCATTCATATATTTCCTGACCTACAGTTTCTTATTATGTAATTTTGTTTGGAAATCTTTTCATGAGACACCAAAAGCTTGGGTTCTTTTGAAGCAGTTTCCCTTCCCTTTTACAATTGACTTTGAATCTCCTGTTTGCCTGCATTCATGAATTGTTCTCTATTTTATGTATTCTAGTCTTCTATATGATCCTTCCACTTATTATCTGTGACTGATTCTTAAGAGAGAAGCAGGGTCAAGTCTGAACTCAGGCCATATCAACTACACCTTAGGGTGTCCTAGACTCATAAAATCATCTAGTCAAAGTCTACTTGACATGAGGAGATGGTGTTTGCTCTGCAGAAACATTAATGAGCAAAACTGAGTTAAAACTTAGAAACTTAGACAAGAATTACATCTCAAATGTTCTTCACAATACATGCCTGCCATAAGCATAAGCATATCTGGACTTAGCATCCATTCATACCAACTCACTCTTAGAACTAAGAGTTTCTGGTGGTTTCTCTCTGGTTTCATTTATTCCAAATACTAAAACACACAGAGCTGGTATCAATTGAGTAGGCAAATATTTTGGTGAGTTCTTACTGGGGTGTGTGGTAGACTACTGGTGTCATGAAAAGACTGAAAGAAAAAGTTAAATTTGGCTCCTAGCTCCTAGGAATTCACAATCTACTAGAAGAAATATGTATCTCTATGGGTTAAGTGCTATAATATATGCCTAACTGGATCCAAAACTGGTATAGTTTAGACTCAACAGGTGTGTCCAACCTTTTGACATCCTAACATGGGATTCTCATTTACAAAGAATACTGCAATCCAGTAACTAAAAGATTTAGCAGACAATTTTCTAATATTTTCAGTAATTTTTCAATTTTGTGTTGGGTCACATTCATTGCTGTTCTGGGACCTGTGGGCTGCAGGTTGGACATACCTGGTAGAATTTAAGGGTTTCAAGCCAGGTATGGTAGTACATGCCTGTAATCCCAGCACTTGGAAGGCGGAGGCAGGAGAATTTTGAGTTAAAGATCAGCTTGGACTGCTTAGTGAGTATATGTGCAGAAACAAACAAACAAACAAACAAACAAACAAACAAAAAAACAGTGTTTCAGTGCAATTCTCAGTAGACCCTGAAAAGAGAAGACTAATTGCCAAATTATTCTCCAAACAAGACTGACCACATAATTTGTAGCATCCAATCAAAATGCAAATCCATGGTCTCTTCCTCAAAAATTAAGCATTGTAAGACAATGGCAACACAGTAAACCAAGCGTGGGGGGAAAGGAGGTTTCTGAAAGGAGACACACTCATGAAACCAATGGTCTTTAAATATGGTCTATAAGGGAGAAGTCAATTTGAGCATTCTAGAGGAGGAGATGCATACAGGAAATTTTCTCTCAAGTAATTCATGGGAAAATAAAAATAATTCCAAGGAAAGAAAATGATTTAGTTCTTCCCAAATTAGCAAATGAGATTCAAGTCTAAACGTTTGGAAAGCTACAGGGATGAAGAGATTGCTCAGCTGGTAAACTGCTTGCCTTGATAGCGTGAGGACCTGAATTTGATCCCTAGAACCTATGTTAAAAAAATCAGGCATGGTGGTATACACACTGATAGTCCAAGGGCTGGAGAAGCAGACACAGCAGATCCCTGATAGTCAGTGGCCAGTCGGCCTAGCCTACTCAGTGAGCTCCAGGCCAGTTAAGGACCCTGTCTCAATTAAAAAAAATAATGAGGTAGATAGCTCCTGAGAAATGATACCTGAGGTTATC